TGGGCACTTAGCTGAAAGGGTAGATGATTACCTTGCTTTAGACAAGTTGGTGCTGTGTAATGGGGGGATCTGAAATCGTGTCCATATTCCACATTTTGAACAAAATTTTCTTACCCTTGATGGGGCAATCCTTGGTGGTGTGTTTAAGGGGTAGCGGGTCCAGCAGGGGGAGATGTAGTGAAACGTTCTTGTTCTATATGACTAGCGTGGATTTGGTAATATGAGAGGGCCCAGCCCGTCAGGGGCTTGGCACCCGGAGATGTCTGAAAATGTTCTTTAGCATAGATGGGCGTTAGGGGCTTGTAGATGCTGTCTACCGAGGCCCCCGGGGTTTTTTTCCCCAATGTTCTTCAGTGTTCAGTAGAGAGAGAGGGGACCATATTTCCGTCTTTTCACAAAGACCGAACGTTTCGACTTTAAAAATGGAACGGGGGGTAGATGAATTGTTGGTTTTTTAGGGTTGGATTGAAGGGTCGTCCCTAGTTTTGATGCTTTCCCTGTCGTCTGTGCAGACACAATGAAGGAGCCTTCAGAGAGTGGATTGCCGTAAAAATTTTCCTGCAGGGGGGTTTCCCTTAACACAGTAGCTAAAACTAACTTTGAGGAGTCATTTATTGCACCATTACAGGCTTGATTTTCCCCGATTCGACAGCATGTGAAAAGGAGTGATGTCGAAGAGAGTATTTTACAGCAAGGGCCGTAGACGTGGCTTATATACTGTAGTGGGTGACGTGAAGCAGATGGGGGCGGGGGCATAGGGGCCCCCCTACAAGTAGGTCTTCTCCAAAGTTGAACAAGTTTGAAGAATTCTTTGTAACAAGGCCCCTGATTGCCGTGTTGACAGTTGTGTGAATGGTTTGAAAAAAAAGACAAGTTGAAGTTGAGACATTATGCAGCTAGGGAACTTTTTCAGGAAAAAGTTTCGCCCCCAGTGGGTTCATCAGTCCAATACAAAGAGGGGGCGTAAAGGGGAGGAGGGAAAGAGGGAATCAGTCCCCAACCTGGATCGATGTGTTCGTCCACAATCTTGTAGAATGTACAGATAGGGCCGAGACGTGGCTTTTTATACTGAGTGAGGGGGACGTGAAGCAGATGGGGGCGGGGGGCATAGTGGTACCATCCACTAGTCGAAGTGGTCTTTGTCCCAAAGGTTGAACAAATGTTGAAAATTCTTTGTAAAAAAGGCCCCCCGATGCGCCGTGTCTGACAGTTGTGATGAATGGTTTTAAAAACCGAAAGTTTAAGATTTAGACACTTATGCGCAATGGGGGAAATTTTTTAGGGAAACGTTTCGCCACACGTGGCTTCATCATCCAATACAAAAAGGAAGGCGTAAGGAGAGGAGGAGAATGAGGTAATCAGTCCCTCAACCTGGAGTCGATGTGTTCAGTTTCCCTAATCTTGTGAATGTACAGCATTTGGGGGGGTAGACGTGGCTTATATCTGTAGTGGGTGAGTGAAGCAGATGGAGGGGGGTCCCAAATGGTACCATCCACTACAGTATATAAGCCCCAGTATAAAACCTCAACAGTATTAAGCCAGTCTACGGCCCCATGCTTTACATTCTCAAGATTTATGGACGAACCATCGACTCCAGGTTGAGGGATGATTACCTCTTTCCTCCTTCCTTACGCCTTCCCCTTTGTATTGGGCTGATGAACCACTGTGTGGGGCGAAACGTTTCCCGAATAAAAAATTCCCCTATGCTGCATAAGTGTCTCAATCTTCAACTTGTCGGTTTTTTAAAACCATTCATCACAACTGTCAACCGGCGATATGGGGCCTTGTTACAAAGAATTCTTCAACACTTGTTAAAATTTTGGGAAACAAAGGGCCCTTTATTCGACTGGGTGGAGGGTACCACTATGACCCCGCCCCCATTGTTTCACGTCCCCTCATTTCGTATTTAACCCAAACGTTTTACGGCCCTATGTTTTCATTCTCCCAAGATTGAGGGGGGGAATGAACAATCGACTCCAGGTTGGGGGGACTGATTCCTTTCATTTCCCCCCTCTCCTTACGCCTTCCTCTTTGTATTGGACTGAGGGAAGCCACTGTGTGGCGAAAAGTTTCCTGAAAAAAGTTTCCCCTATGTGTTTAAGTGTCCCCAATCTTCAATTTGGTGGTTTTTTAAAACCTTTCATCCCCAAACTGTCGGGACACGGCGCATTGGGGGCCTTGTTACAAAAAATTTCTTCAACACTTGTTAAAACCTTTGGACAAAGGGGAAACCAACTTGACTAGGGGGTTGGTAAAACTTTACCCCCTCCACTGTTTAACGTCACCTCACTACATTTTTTTTTAAGGGCCACGTCTAGGGCCCTATGCTGTACATTTTTCAAGTTTTGAGGGACTAAAACCCCATGACCCCAAGGTTGAGGGATGTTTACCCCCAATTCCCCCTCCTCTCCTTACCCCCTTCCTCTTTTGAAATTGGCTGATAAACCCACTGTGTGGCGAAAACTTTTCCCTTTAAATAAAGTTTTCCCATATGCTGCAAAAGTGTTCAATTTAAACTTGTGGGTTTTTTTTCCAAACCTTTTCATCAAAACTTTTCGCCCAGGGCAGCATTCAGGGGCCCTTGTTACAAAGAATTTTTAAAACACTTGTTAAACCTTTGGACGAAGCCCTACTTCGACTAGTGGATGGTACCACTAGGGCCCCCGCCCCCCATCGGTTCCGTCACCTCACTACAGTTTAAAGCCACGTCACGGCCCTATCCCTGTACATTCTACAAAAATTGGGATGGTGAAACACATCGACTCCGGTTTGGGGGAAATGTTTACCTCTTTTCTCCTCCCCTTACCCCTTCCTTTTTGTTTTGGGATGATAAAGCCATTGGGGGGCAAAACGTTTCTGAAAAAAGATTCCCATTGCTGCTTTAAGGGTCTCAATCTTCAACTTGTGGGTTTTTTAAAAAACCATTCATCAAAACCCTGTCGGGACACGGCAGCACCCATGGGGCCTTGTTACAAAAAATTTTTCAACCTTGTTAACCTTTGGACGATGCCCCCTATTCGACTAGTGGTTGGTCCCACTATGACCCCGCCTCCATCTGCTTCACGTCACCTCACTACGTATAAAACCAAAGGGCCCTAGGGCCCCATGCTTTTACTTTCTACAAGTTTGGGATGGACTAAACACCAGGGACCCGGTTGGGGGGCTAAATTACCCTTTTTTCCCCCTCTCCTTACCCCTTTCCTCTTTGTTTTTGAAGGGATGAACCCAATGTTGTGGGGGGAAAAACTTTTTCCTGAAAAAAAATTTCCCAAAATTTTTGCAAAAGTGTCTAAAATCTTAAACTTGTCGGTTTTTAAAACCATTATCACAACTGTCAGCACGGCAGCATCATGGGGCCTTGTTACAAAGAATTCTTAAAACACTTGTTAAAACCTTTTGGACGAAAAACCTACTTCGACTAGTGGATGGACCACTATGACCCGCCCCCCCATCTGCTTCACGTAAACCTAACTACAGTATTTTAAACCCAGTTTTAGGGCCCCTTTGCTGTACATTTTTACAAGATTGAGGGGCCCCCTAAACACATCGCCTCCAGGTTGAGGGACTGAAAAACCTCATTCCCCTCTCCCCTTAGCCTTCCTCTTTGTATTGGATGATGAAGCCACTGTGTGGCAAAACGTTTCCTGAAAAAGATTCCCATATTTTGATAATTTTGTTCAATCTTAAAATTGGGTCGGTTTTTAAAAATTTTTTCATCAAAAACTGTAGACAGGGCCGCATAAAGGGGGCCCCTTTGTTAAAAAGAATTCTTCAACACTTGTTCAACCTTTGGACAAAAGACCTACTTCGACTAGTGGATGGTCCCCTTTTGCCCCGCCTCCACTCCCTTCACGTCACTCATACAGTATAAAAAAGCCAGTTCTAGGGCCCTATGCTGTACATTTTTACAAGTTTGATGGCCCTGAACACATGGGATCCGGGTTGGGGGGACTGATTACCTCATTCTCCCCCTCTCCTTAGGGCCTTCCTCTTTTTTTTGGGGACTGATAAAGCCACTGTGTGGCAAAAGTTTCCTGAATAAAGATTCCCATAGCTGATAAGTGTCCAATTTCAACATACAGAGGTAACATCCCTTTCTGTATTTTTAGAAGTGATAAAGGGTCCGGGGCCCGAAAAACGTTTTTTTAAAAAATATGTTATAGTGTTTGCTTACGGGTCTTTCAAAACAAATATATATATTTATATATATTATATTTTATATATTATATAATTTTATATATATATATTTTATATATATTAATGTTATATATTTTTAATGTATAAAATATAATGTGTGTGTTTTAACTCATTTTTTTAAGGTTGCGGGGGGTCGAGCCCTAGCTCCTGCCCCCGCCTCTTCATGGTGGGTACTGGGTCATCCCCCTGATGTGAGCTTTATATATCTCTGCTTAAAACTATGTATGGATTGCCCCACTACATCGCTTCCCAAACTATTCCACTTCCTGACTACTCTGTGGGGAATTTCTTCCCAACATCCTTTTGGGTTCATCTGTGTTTCAACTTCCAACTGTGTCCCTTGTTGCTTGTCCCATCTTGGAATCCTTTTTTTGTCCACCCTTTTCAAATTCCCGTCAATATTTTGTATGTCCCTTATCTTTTCCCCCCTATCTCTTCCTGTCCTCCGGGGTTGTCAGGTCGTTTTTCCCCTTTAAACCCGAATTTTTTTAAAAAAGGTACCTTACACTTCCCACAGCATGTCCCGATCCCCAAAAAAAGCTTGTCTTCTTTCTCTGAATTTTCAGTAGGATAAAATTTCCCATGTTTTGAGTTTCAATTTCCCTTAAACATAATACATAACCTAGTTGTGGTTTTTTTTTTCTTGTGGGTTTTCATGCCCCCCCGGTACCCGGAATTTAGCCCTTTGGGTCCCGGTTTACCCCCTGTTTGCTTAGATTCCCAAAGGAAAACCGGGAAAAAGGACCGAAAAAGCGAGAAAAACTGCAGGGGAAAAAGGGGCCCCCACCCGCCCAAATGAAAAGGGGGGACCTACCCACGCCCGTGTATGGGTACATCATAGACAACGATTGTAAGATCATCCATTTGCTCAATCATTCGTGAAATAAGAAGGGTGTATAACACTAAAAATTATATAGGGTGACTCATACATGATAATGCATGAAAAAATGTTAGACATGTCTTCAAGATACCTGTGTACTAGGAATTCTTCAAGTTGATGTATACATTAATAAAGTAAATTCCTTTTTGAATCATCACCAGAGAACTCTAACACAGTTCAACATGTAAATAAACTTAAAAATATACAAGGATCTGCGACCAGTGATGAAAGATACGAGTTAAACAAAACAAAAGTAGGGAAGCTGAACTTCATATCACCGAGGAATGAATTAGAGGTGATATGATCACAACAAGCAACATGCTTGTGATCATGCTTGTTGCAACATGCTTGTACATTATATCAGGTTCATATTATAACACTAGTAATGATATGCACACTGCCAAAGGATTATTTCAAAGTTATATCTTTTTTTAATTACATTAATATAAAATGAGCTTTTGTTACAAATGCCTTCCATTTCGTTTTATTCACGTGCAAGAGCAAAACCAGTAGGGGTCACACAGCTCCTGGGGAATGGGAAGCACACTGGTTCGATCTAGGCAGGGAGAGAGCTTAAGTGCCTTTCTTTGAACGAAGAGCTTCTCACGGCACCTTCCTTGAGGAGTTTTGATTAAAAATAAACATTACATTTCAGATCACAGAGAGCACAGTTACTGGATTGGAGGAACTGACGCTAATCATGAAGGAACGTAAGTAATGTGCTGCCTATTGTCCTAGATGCTTAAACAACGTGCTACTAAAGGCCACAAATGTTTGCTTCAACATCCAGCCATGAAACAAGAATAAAAATGAGTGTCTTAATATATGTCTGAGAGCCTTCCAGATTTGCAACCCTGTGTTTCTGGGTGAGGAAATTACTAAAATCTTTGATACTGTAACGAAATTACGGTGTCCATAGGAGTTTGTAGAAATGGATTTGCTAGCAGCTAGGATGGCTTATTATAGAACTGAACCCAAGATAAGCCCTCACGTTAAGAATGTGTTAGTACTTCCATACAATGAGAATTTATCTATTCTACCAAATCTTTAAGAATTCAAATATGGTTAAAAGCAATTTGACCAAAAACTTCCCTCAGCACTCTGTTGGTGGTATTTACAAAGTTGGGTGTAGTGGTTGCAACTAATTTTATGTGGGACAGACTAGCAAACCTTTTGATACCAGGTTAGCACAACTCTGATACTCAATTCAAACAGCTCAAGAATCCAATACCATATTTAACCATGCACGGGCTTGCAATAGCCCTGCAAAATATCTAGATAATAAGAGTCCTATTCTCCAGTTCTCCCTGGCTGGGAAAGTATTTTAGAATTGGCAATTATAAAACATGTTAACTTTTCACTACATAATAATAGCTTAGAATTATTCAAACTTGACTCATTTATAACTAATAGGATTGTACATAACCTCAAGCTTGATTCTTACATGAATGCTCTGGACTGTCTAAAATGTAATTCAACTTGGATCAACTGAGGTTAACTTAAGCACAAAAAAAAATTAATGCTTCAGTTTCTGCTTGCCCACCTTCTCTTTTTGTTAGACCAGTGTCTGCTAGAGAGAGGGGTTGGGTTAGTTTCATCGTTCACAGAGAGAAGGTAGCTAAAATTGGATGCGCCTTTGTTTTGGGCCCTCGTTTTTATGCGAGTCTACCCACTATCCATTCTCTATAATTAACTCTCATTTTCTGGTTAGATAACAATTGTGAAGCTATATATACTATTTTTTCCCCGTTTGCTTAGATCAAACTGATTAATGAACGAGAGATTTATATAGTTGAACATTTTGGTTTTAATAATAACATACTCTGGAGAAATTCCCATAGCTATGGAAATTCCCATAACAGTGAATAATCTTTTCCACAAAAAAAAAGAGAGGAGGGGGGGGAGGGGGGAGGAGGGGGGGGAGGAGGGAGGGTGGAGGAGGGGGAGGGGGGGGGAGGGGGAGGGGGAGGGGGGGGAGGAGGAGGAGGAGGAGGAGAGGAGGAGGACGAGGAGGAGGACGACGGCGAGGAGTAGTAGTGGTAGAGTTACTAGTAGTAAGAGTGGAGTCAGTCAAAGACTAAGAGGAGCACTGCAAGGGAGCTAGGGGTCCAAGGGAGCTAGGAAGAACACAGAGGGGGGAAAATAATAATAATGGATCAAATACTCAAGGCAGAAGAAAGAAAACCCAAAGGAGAAAGTGGAAGAGGGAGAAGGGGAAAACAAGAATCAGGTTAAGTCACGGGTGTTCTTAAGTTTGGAGCATTTTACAATGTAATGGGAGAGGAAGGCATCCACAGAGACAAAGCCAGGGCTAAGATTCATACAAGGGAGGATTTATATAAGGGAGGATCCGACCAGACGGCGACTGTGAAAGTTAGACATAGGGCAGACAGTTTTAGCAGAAGACCAGTCAATCGGATGACTGTGATCTCTGACATGACAGAAAAGAGCATTGTTGGTGTCGGCAAGCCTAACACTATTTTTGTGCTCCCTGAATGTCAGAAAGAGAACGGCCAGTTTCTCCAAAGTATTGAAGAGGACAAGATGGACAAGAAATAGAGTAGACACCAGGAGAATCTATAGAGGGAGGAGAGGTATGAACTAGATTGGTGCGAAGAGTGTTAGTCTGGCGAAAAGTAAGTTTGATGTCAAAGGAACGGAAAGAGTTTTTGAGATTTGAAAGTCTGGAAACATGGGGAAGGCAGAGGACAGAATATTTCCCAGGAGTAGAGAGTTTGGGAGAGAAAAAAGTCCGTTTAGCACGTGAGAAGGCAGAGTCTATGAAATGGGGAGGGTAGCTAAGACGGGAAAATGAATTATGAAGAGTGGAAATTTCTGATTCAGGGAACTGAGGATCACAAATGCGGAGAGCACGGAGAAAGAGGGGAATGTACATGCCACTGTGCATAGGCTTGCGGTACACGGAAAAGGTAAAACCTGTATCTGAACGGTGGACACGAACATCAAGGAAAGGCAGCAATGAATTAGATTCCCACTTCAGCTTTACACTTAATGGAAGGGGCAAGATTATTAAGGGTATCAAGAAATGGTTGAAAGAGACTAAGTCACGAGGCCAAAGAGCAAATATGTTATCTACATAACGGAGCCAGAGTGAAGGGCTCACATCGATAATAGGAAGAACAGTCTCGAAGTATTCCATGTAAAGATTAGCAAGAACAGGAGACAGAGAGGCCATAGCGACACCGAAGGTTTGAGAATAATATTTGCCTTGGAAGGAAAAGGAATTTGAGTCTACACAAAGGCGGATAAGATCAAGAAAGACATCAGTAGGTATAGGTATAGAAAATTAAGGACATCATCAAGAGGTACATTTGTGAAGAGGGACTCAACGTCAAGACTAAGCATCTTACAGGTCGGGAGAGAGCGAACATGTTCGATACAGTCTTGAGAAGGACGGAGGTGGGCAGGAGGAAAAGTACCAAGATAGGGGGTGAGGTTTTTGGCCAGCCAAGAAGCAAGAGAATAAGAGGATATGATGGGACGTAGAGGAATATCAGGTTTATGAGTTTTGGGAAGGCCAAAGAAATAGGGTAGAGGACAGATAGTTCCTTAGTCTGGATCTATCTAGGTGCCTTCTATCAAGCAAGTTATTACTTCTTCACGCCTTCCACCGTTTGAGGCTGAAAAAAAGCCTACTGCACAAGCGATACCTCTTGTTAATAAAGATACGCAAGTGCTGCACATGTCTGATTCATAAACTTATCGGAATTGCATACGATTAATGTAATTATAAACATTCCTCTTTTTCATTTAGCCTTACTCTCCCCCAGTTTATTTTTGTTCCTTTCTTCCATTTTCACCTATGATTTGCATTTGGGTTTCGAATGGCAGCGGGGAAGAAATGGCTATGGGTGTACCTCACTAGTTCATAGAACCTAATAAGGTTGACAAGAAAAATTACTCCTGTATCCACAATACTCACCATTTCTTCCACAGCAATAACGACGATGAAAAATACAACCCCATACGTTAGATTTAAATCGGCCTGTCTTGTGACAGAATACCATGAATCACTGTAGACGAGCTTAATTGCAATCTTTATATCGGTATAACGCCATTGTAGTAAGTGTTCGAAATATAGGATAAAAGCATTTCCCACCCTTTTTATTACAAAACTGCAAAGATTAAAAGTAACAATGGGTGCAGAAAAAAAAGTGTTGGATTTCATAAGATCTGTAAGAGAAGGAAATGCCGAAGAGTAGAAGGTATCTCGTTTCACTTAATCTTACAAGTTTTTCTTGGTCTATAATATCAAAATTAATAACTTACTTTCTCGCCTTCTTCTAACTCTTTGTCTGTCTGCTTTTTTTTATGTGTGTGTTTCAACTTGTGTGTATGCCTACACTAACATCCTCCTACAGCTTTCACTACACTGACATCCAACTCCCCTATTCACTACATTAGTTAACATCCAACCCTGCTTTCACTATACTAACAACCCACTTCCATTACACTATTTTTCCCTCCCCGCTTTCACTATACTAGCTTCCAGGAATGACTCTAGATACGTAGTTGTATTGGCAAATGCAAATACAAACACAGAAAATCAATATTTGTATTTTATTCGTATTAGGGGAAAACTGCAGTTGTGTTTTCATTTAACTGGTATTAAATGTTTGTATTTAGCGCACTAGCTTCACACTTAGTTCAAATGCAATACTATACCTGGAGTTTACCTGGAGAGGGTTTCGGGGGTCAACGCCCCCGCGGCCCGGTCTGAGACCAGGCCTCATGGTGGATCAGGGTCTGATCAACCAGGCTGTTACTGCTGGCCGCACGCAAGCTGACATACGAACCACAGCCCGGTTGGTCAGGTACTGACTTTAGGTGCCTGTCCAGGGTCTTCTTGATAACAGCCACATCGCTTATTCAAAATCTGTTGATCAGCACGACCACAGTAACAAAGTGTGAAAGTTACAACTAGTGTTAAAGCTTTTATTTGGAGAGCCATTAGCGAAATGATTTACTTTTTCCTATATTATACAGTATTGTACGGTAAATTGCACTAATGGTGATTTAAAATATTCTATAATTTAATTTTCAGTACATTACAATAATATCTGAAGGCTTGTATTTGATATATTTATGAAGTTTTTGAAGCTTAGTAATTGTATTTTATTTGTAGATAAGAATTTGTAAAAAATCGTATATGTATTACTATCTGCAAATTTTCTTGATTACTGTATGTATATTTGTAGTTGGACGTATGTGTTTCACCCCATCACTGCTAACATCCCATCCCCTTCCATGTTTCCACATATCCTTCTTGTTTATTTTTATTTCCTAGCCATTATATTCCCTTCTTATTTGTAATTGAATGCCACCATTTTTGCAGCTGGGTTTGGATTAGCAGTGGAGATGAGATGGAGATGGGTGTACCTCACTGGTACACAGGAGAACCTGATGGTAGTTACTGGGAAAACTACTGCTGCTTACACAAACCTGACTATTACTTCCACAGCTGTGACAACGATAATAATTACCATGCTATATGTCAGATTTAATTCTGCCTGACTTGTGACAAATTACCAAGATGCACTGTAGATGAGTTTATCAGATATATTAATATTGATATAATGCTAAAGAAATGTTTATGAAATATATGAAAAAAGGATTTCCAATACTTTTATTATAGAACTGTAAAGGTTATAAATAACAATGATTATAATAATCTATAAAGGAACTATAAATAGCTGGATTACATAGCAGCCATGAGACAAGGTATCCAAGGGATCAGACAACATCCTCGGCAGTTTATATCATTTAATCTGACAAGACAGTTTTTTGCTCGAGAAAATAATTATGAAAATAATATATTTGTTCATCGATCTTTTTACCCTCTATGTCTGTAAGTCTGTCTCTGCCTGTCTGTCTGCGTCAAACACACAACCCCCCCCACACACAAACTATGCGTCACACACACACAACCCCCCGCCCCCACACACTGCGTCAAACACACAACCCCGCCACACACACACTGCATCACACACACAATCCTCCAACACACACACTGCGTCACACACACAGCCCCCCACACACTGCGTCACACACACAACCCCCTACACACACTGCGTCACACAATCCTTCAACACACACACTGCGTCACACACACAATCATCCCACACATACACTGCGTCACACACACAACCCCCCTACACACACTGCGTCAAACACACGACCCCTCTACACAAAACTGCGTCAAACACACGACCCCTCTACACAAACTGCGTCAAACACACGACCCCTCTACACACACTGCGTCAAACACACGACCCCTCTACACACACTGCGTCAAACACACGACCTCCCCCCACACACACACTGCTGAACATCTACCTACGTCATAAGCTAAATTATGTATAATGTGAAATGAAAACTCTTGATTAACTTCAAATAAGTAAAACTCCATACAATCAAGGATCAGACCGTCTCAAAACATTTACTGCTCTTTAAAATACATTAAAAGTTCATAAAGTTTAGTTTTTTTTTTACACAGGGTCTGACAAGGTTAAGGATCCCTAGCTTTATTGACAAGCTGTTTACAGGTTAAGGATTCCTAACTTTATTGGCAAGCTAAAGTTGTTACCTACATCAGCTCATTTGAAAGCATTTTTATTGTTATGAGACATACAAGTAGGGAACAGGATGAAGTTGGAGCCATCTGTGGACCAGCATTTTCATTTGATCAACTATCTCGTTGACATCATTATGCTGTACGAATGTGTTCCATACATGAGTCATCCTGGGTATATAGGATCTCAGATGGAGTGATGTTCTGGAGAAGGGTACAGCCAGAGTGAAGTTGCTGCTTTCTGCCCGTCTTATGGCATAAAAGCTTGTTTCACGCTGTCCTCGAAGTGGATCCAAGTGTGGTACTTTGACAATATTGGCCTTGTACATAACAGTAAGGCCACCCACATCCCTCCTGTGTTGAAGGCTCTGCTGAAGTGACAGATCTATCCAGGATGGGTCCAGGCGAGAGATGAGACGTCTTGCTCTGTTCTCTACTCTGTCAAGCAGTCGCAGATGAGAGGGGGGGGGGGCAGGCAAACCAAGAAAGTGGAACATACTCAAGGTGTGAGCGTACTTGTGCCTCGTACAGAATCTTGCAACCCCTACTGTCAAGCAGATGCGAGATACGGCGAAGTGCTGTAAGCTTCCTGGCTGCTTTGTTTGCAAGATTTACAACATGGTTCTTCATGGTTAGTTTGGAGTCAAATTTCACCCCAGGATATCAACTTCTCCAGGTGCCAACCCCTCCCATTCATCTTACTACTGCACCAGCATTATCATCATGGTGCCTAGAGACGATCATCATTTGCGTTTTCTCAGGTGCAAATGTTACTTGCCATCTATTTCCCCAAGTGATAGAGCTCTTAGCTGGTGATTGATGTAGCTTAGAGCAGCTGGCATTTCTTCTCTTGGATAAGTGAATGTCAGTGTACAGTCGTCTGCATATGCATGTGATTCTGGGATGAGATGAAGAAGGTCGTTGAAGTAGACATTCCATAACAATGGTCCCAGCAAGCTTCCTTGTGGAACACTTGCCCCAATAGGATGTCTTGTGATTCCGTTCCTTGAGAACTCACTTAGAGATCTACATGAAGGTAATCACTGAGGACACATAGGTAGAGCCTGCAATTCTCAGTGCTTGAAGTTTTGCTAAGAGGCCCTGGTGCCACACACGGTCGAAAGCACCAGCAATGTCAGTGCTACTACACAGTGACTTTGGATTCATCCAGTGACTGGTGCCATTAGTGGGAAGTTTAAAACAGATCAGCAGCAGAGTAACCTTTCTGAAGCCATATTGACGATCACAAAGTAGTGAGTGGTAGTCAAAAAACTGTCTTTGTATTGAGATTGTCTCAAGGATCTTACCAGTGATTGACAAGAGTGACACTGGTCTGTAGTTGCTGATTTCTGCTTGCTCTTGTTTTTGTGAACAGAGACTACATTTGCCTCTTTCCCCAGGAGGGGCCATTTACACTGTACTAGGCAGTGCTGAAGATGCGAGTTAGAGGTGCTGCTAGCTGGTTGCACATCTCTCAGCAATCTTGGGCTCAAACTTGTTGGGCCCACAGGCCTTTCTTGGCCAAGCGTTTTAAGAAGGAAATGCACCTCCTTCTGCCTTATTGTCACCCCTGACAGTTTTGACACAGTTCTTGCAGCTAGCCAAGGAGGGTCCCTTGCTGGATCAAGAACTTGCATTTTGGTAGCAAAGTGTTTAGCAAAGAGGTCCGCCTTCTCTTGACTACTAGTAGAGGTGGTCTCATCCTGTCGATTTAGAGGTGGAATGAGTTCATCAGGCAGATAACCTTGTCTGTCCTTGACCAGGGACCACCAGGTTTTGGAGCCTACCCTACCTGATGCTAGCTTTCTTTTTTTGTCCACCTCCCATTTAGCAATGGCCCACTTTTGAACGTCACCCATATGCCTACAGGCTTGCCTGGGCAAGTTTCTGTTATAGGTGGTAGGAATGTCTCTTAGTTCTTACACATACTTAAAAAGTTTTAAAATATCATTGAATTCTAAGAAAATTTTCTGTTACAAACATCTGTCAGATTTCAGAGTCATAACAATTTAGAGAGTCGACTCGAATAGGCAGACTACATTAAGATAGTCTACCAGTTGAGGTAGACTACATCAATTCAAATAGTCTACTTTAATAAACAGATCACATTATTTTGTGTAGTCTACCTCAACAGGCTGACAACATTACCAAAGCATTTTCAGCTGTCAGATATTGGCCAATTTTTAACGAAGTTTATATTTTTTCAATTCTACCTTTCATTTGCATATCGATGGTATCAGTCAGGCTGTTGGTGCTAACAGCGCAAAAACACAACCAATCACTAGGGATATAACTGTAAAGCATTTTGTCCTTTAGGTAGTGTATTAATTTTTTAACACATCGGCCGTCTCCCACCAAGGCAGGGTGGCCCGAAAAAGAAAACCTTTCAACATCATTCACTCCATCACTGTCTTGCCAGAGGCTCGTTTAAACTACAGTTATAAAACTGCAACTTTAACACCTTTCCTTCTGAGTGCAGACTGTACTTCCCATATCCAGGACTCAAGTCCGGACGGCCGGTTTCCCTGACTCCATAAATGTTACCTTGCTCACACTCCAACAGCACGTCAAGTCTTAAAAATCATTTGTCTCCATTCGCTCCTATTTAACACGTTCACACATGCTTGCTGGAAGTCAAAACCCCTCACACACAAAAGCTCCTTTACCTCCTCCCTCCAACCTTTCCTGGGCCGACCCCTACCCCGCCTTCCCTCCACTACAGATTTATACTCTCGAAGTGATTCTATTTTGTTCCACCCTCTCTACATGTCCGAACCATCTTAGCAAACCCTCCTCAGCCCTCTGGATAATAGTTTTGGTAATCCCGCACCTCCTCCTAACTTCCAATCTACGAATTCTCTGCATTATATTCACACCACACCTTGCCCTCAGACATGACATCTCCACTACCTCCAAACTTCTTTTTCTTGCAACATTCACCACCTATGTTTCACACCCATATAAAAGCGTTGGTATAACTATACCAACACTCTTATATGGACAAAGTTCTTTGTCTCCACAGACCCCTAAGTGCACCACTCACCTTTTTTTCCTCATCAATTCTATGATTCACCTTATCTTTCATAGACCCATCTGCTGACACGTCCACTCCTAAATATCTGAATACATTCACCTCCTCCATACTCTCTCCCTACCAATTTGATATCCGATCTTTCATCACCTAATTTTTTTTTATCCTGATCACCTTACTCTTTCCTATATTCACTTTTAATTTTCATCTTTTACATACCCTACCAAACTCATCCAACCTCTGCAACTTCTCTTCAGAATCTCCCAAAAGCAGTGTCATCAGCAAAAAGCAATTGTGAGAACTCCCACTTTGTGTTAGATTCTTTATCCCCACACTTCCTGCCAAGACCCTCGCATTCACTTTTCTTACAACTCCATCTATAAATATATTGAACAACCATGGTGACATCACACATCCTTGTCTAAGGCCTGCGTTTACTGGGAAATAATCTCCGTCTCTCCTATATACTCTAACCTGAGTCTCACTATCCTCGTAGAAACTCTTCACTGCTTTCAGTAACCTACCTCCTATTCCACACATTTGCAACATCTGCCACATTGCCCACTATCCACCCTGGCATACGCCTTTTCCAAATATAAATGCCACAAAAACTCTTTACCCTTATCTAAATACTGTTCACCTGTATGTTTCAATATAAACACTTGGTTTACACACCCCTTACTTCTCCTAAAGCCGCCGTGTTCATCTGCTATCGTACTCTCCGTCTTACTCTTAATTCTTTTAGTAATAACTACCATACATTTTACCAGGTATACTCAACATACTTATTCCCCTACAATTTTTGCAATCTCTTTTATCCATTTTGCCTTTATACAAAGGAACAATGCATGCTCTCTGTCAATCCCTAGGTACCTTACCCTCTTCCATACATTTATTAAATAAAAGCACCAACCACTCCAAAACTATATCCTCACCTGCTTTTAACATTTCAATCTTTATCCCATCAATCCCAGCTGCCTTACCCCTTTCATTCTACCCACTGCCTCACAAACTTCCCCCATACTCACAACTGGCTTTTCCTCACTCCTACAAGATGTTATTCCTCCTTGCCCTATACACGAAATCACAGCCTCCTTAACTTCATCAACATTTAACAATTCCTCAGAATATTCCCTCCATCTTCTCGATACCTCTAACTCTTCATTTAATAACTCTTCTCTCCTATTTTTACTATCAAATCCACTCGTTCCCTAGACTTCCTGAACTTATTAATCTCACTCTAAAACCTTTCCTTATTTTCAACAAAATTTGTTGATAACATCTCACCCACTCATCATTAGCAGTCTGTAAGAGGTTGAATATTATTTTAAAAATATCAACATTGTAACAGGTTCTCTCATTCTAATAAAGTTTCAAATCTACTTAGAATTATTTTTGAAACCTATGATTATTGCCAAGAAGTTACGACTTTAAATAGTTAATATTAACTATTAAATATTCACCATCTGGAAAATAGGTGCAGTTGTGTGTTCTACATCAACACTGTGTCTTCTGTATCCCAAGCCTCACACTTGTTGTCTGTTCTATATTGTCATTATTGTGTATTCTGCATCAAGTGTTACTATTGTGTAGTCTACATTGGGACTATTGTGTTCTACATCAAGTATTACAGGTGTGTGCTGGCTTAGTGATGAAGGACCCCTGGCTTATTGGTCAAAGATCCCCTGGCTTACTGATGAAGGCTCCCTTGGTTTAGTGATAAAGGGCCCCTTGGTTTACTGATCAAGGATCCCCTGGCTTTCTAATCATGGCTCATCTTGTTTCCCAGGATAACCGAACAAGCGTCTACGGGCTCATTGATCAGTGCTCTCTTAGCTCACTCATCAAGGTTCTCTTGACTCACTGATGAAGGGTCTCTTGGCTCACTGATCTAGGCTGCCTTGTGTCTATGAAATAAGAAGGTTGTTCACTTAGTTACAAGCTCTCCAGCCTTCAAATTTCATTACCTCATATGAAACTGAACAAGTCTGAGGGATTATGACAGGAACTAGAGTGAGCTTTTGTTACCTGTCTCTCTCTTACTGCATACTGATATATTGCGATCGTACTAAGTACGATAAATAAGAAAAATATTCTTCGAATAGCCTAAATATATTTCAACTTCAAAATTAAAGTTGATTATCTCTTACGAAAAGCAAAGTTATAACCAAAATATTACACATCTACAAGAGAAAAAGTGAACAAATGAAAGATTTTTATCTACATATACGTGTGTGTGTGTGTGTGTGTGTGTGTGTGTGGTGTGTGTGTGTGTGTGTGTGGTGTGTGTGTTAGTTACCATTTTGTTCTAGGCACATGCCCTGTGTGTGTGTGGTGTGTGTGTGTACTCACCTAGTAGGTTGCAGGGGTCGAGTCCCAAGCTCCTGGCCCCGCCTCTTTCACTGGTCGCTACTAGGTCACTCTCCCTGAACCATGAGCTTTATCGTACCTCTGCTTAAAGCTATGTATGGATCCTGCCTCCACTACATCGCTTCCCAAACTATTCCACTTCCTGACTACTCTGTGGCTGAAGAAATACTTCCTAACATCCCTTTGATTCATCTGTGTCTTCAGCTTCCAACTGTGTCCCGTGTTGCTGTATCCAGTCTCTGGAACATCCCG